ACACTATCCAAATAAACTCCCACAGATCTGAGGACCCAATGGGAACAGTGAGGATGAGTACTAAGCCCTCAGTACACCAGGTAAGGCCGGTACTACTGTAAACACTCGACCTCATTCCTTTCCCTAACTAGAATCACATACCTATTTAAGGCTGAGTTAACTGGAGGTGACCCGGGAACGAACTTGCGACCTTGAGGACAGGTTAAGTGTTGGATCCACTCAGCCACCGCAACCCAAACACCAACACTGAAAACACAAACTTGGATGTTAAAAATTGGAGGAAAAAAAAGAAAACTGTTTATATGTCAGAGATTCCAATGGCGTCAGACCCTTCACGTCACAACCTAACTATCGGGCAGACACAAATAGTTAAGACAGAGACAAGAATAAAAGGAGGGATGGATATGAGAAATTAGAGATGGGAAGGAAGAGAGATGGAAGTGAGATAATGTGGAAGGAAGTGAGGAAGAGGGAAGGCAGCGTAGGCACACATTCCAGGCTTTGGGTGCCAGGAGACGTGTCAACACTGCCCCCCCCCCACCCCCTCTACCACGCACAGTTGTCATACAAACTCATTTAACGTGTATTTGTAAATCGTGTTTTGTGGGTTCGTTATAATGGTGAAATTCGTGGAAAGTAGAGACAAGTTTTGTTTTATTGCACGATGAGTAATAATAATAATAATAATAATAATAATAATAATAATAATAATAATAATAATAATAATAATAATAAAATAACAATAATAATAAAATAACAATAATAATAATAATAATATAATAATAATAATATAATAATAATAATAATAAAAATAATAAAATAACAATAATAATAAAATATCAAGAATACGAAATACATCGAGTTAGTATTTACCTTCAACTTGTAATACAGTTAACAAGGTCGAGTTTTTGTTCACTCGTTATGGTGTGTGAAGTGAGACAAGCTGGATAGTGAGGCACAGACAGCCGATAGACAGAGGATATAACAAAGACAGCTAAATATAACCAGAACAAAGACCAAATGTCACCTACATCCAGTGTGTTTTCTCACTCCTTTTGCCTAAGAAATATTAAAACAATCTTGTGTTACTAGTAAACTGCAGATCTTGACCCGATAGATGGTATGGTATTCTTGAAAAACAGAAAATGAGCTTACTAACTTACTTAAAATCGAGTTAAATAAGCAGCCACAGTCAGCACCGCCCTACTGCCCGAGCTGTTGGCGGGAGACACAACGGCATTAAATAATTTCTGAAAGATGTCATGGTATCTTGTATGTAATGAACTGAACTAAACTAACCTGTCCTAACAATTTTCATTAATTTATTTCTCGATTAAGTTTAGGTAAGTTAATTTATTTTAATTCGTGTAATGTTTCATAAATTATTTGATGCCGTTGTGTCTCATGGACGACAACTGTCAACAACTGACCCGACCATTGGAGACTGCCATGATCGCCATCCCAGTATATTTAACTTGATAGTAAGTAAATTCAAATTTAGTTTATCTAATTAGTAGGCCAGTTTCTTGCCAAATTTCTGGAGACGGTATTTCCACGATACACAACACGTTAATGGAGACAGAGTGCATAGAACTTGACCTAACCAGTGAAACCTACCGAACACCCCCCCTTCAGAATATTAGGCAGAAAGAACTAACTTTGGTATCTGGTACCAATGGCAGCAACTATCTTGAAGTGGCATGGTGTAATTTTACATTTTTTTTACGGACGTGAGTAAGAGCAGTTCTTGCACTGGAAAGACATATTTCTTCTTCACTGTGAGTGATCTGCAGCATTTTGAACACTTGCACGCCTTGCCAACCAGTCAGTGTTGACAGACCAACTCCTGGAGATGGTCTTCATCCTCCACAAGCACAGGTAGAGCTAGGATTCTATTCACGCGTTGCAGTGAGTTTGTTATCATTCGCTACTGGGAGCGATTGACATGTACTGCAAACGTATAACGCTAAGGCAACCGTGCCAATGGAAACAACCGTGTACATTTCAATGTAATCTATTTTTGGCGCTAACGCGTAAAAGGAATCCTAGCTTAACTTGTGATAGGATACCTAACAGGACGTAATAAGGACTCCATTGAAAAACAATAGGGCTTCTCCCTCAGTCGGGCAGTCCGCCTCCTAGAACAACACGGACATAGAGTTCACTTATTAACCAATATACTCGTAAGGTATTAGAAATTAATCAAAATCTATAATATGTATTACGATTATAAATCTAATAAGTTTAAGATCCTATTGCGCAGAAAGAAAAAAGAAAAATATTTATAATTAAAATAGAAAGTTGTATAAATTTTATTAGTTAATATGTACGGAACACCTGTGGAAAATATAAACTCGTTCCGGTACTATCCGTCACCTGCACCTTTACTCCCACACTAGACTAATGATTTATTTTGAACAGTGAGGTTAGTTTGGTACATGTCACATTTCTCAAATGATCTTCAGTTTTATTTACAACTGTATATGGTTAGTTTTGTTCGTGTTATCATGTATAATATAACACACAGTAGGGCCACAGCCTCTTGTTCAAGATTCTTCAGACACTGCTGGCAACTGAAGGCCGTTTGTTTACTATAGTACGTAGTAAAAATTATGAATGGATGTAAAAGTGATCGGTGATTGGTTACTTGGTTCCCTGTTGCTTAATTAATGGTTGGGCTTTGTTGTTTCGTATTATATTATACTACGAACTATAGTAAACAAACGGCCTTGAGCTGCCAGCTGTCTCCAGTAGTGTCTGAAGAATCTTGAACTTTTAAGTACATTGTAGATCATAAACTAAGTTGGAAGCTCATATATGCATAGTGTGTAATATACAGTAATTAATGCGAGTCTAAGCGGCCTGTAAACTCAAACATGATGTTCCCGCCACCTTATTATAACAGAAAACACTGAAGTCAATAATACGGGAAGTTACATATTGAAATCCAAATTAATAATGACTGTTAAGTATCGTCATGGTCTGATTTTTTGTATTCGCTTACAGCTTGACCTTATGTGACGACAAAGTTTAAAATTATATCAAATGTTGACGTTTTTATAATGAAAATTTGTAGGGTTTATTTGTGCTTATTTTAATAGCTGTCATTAAACTGAATAAGGCATTAATAGGAATATCTCCTGGATTAGCCAATCTTGAATTAGATCAGAATAACCGAAGCTTAACCCACATTTATATTAACTTATTGTTATGCCGAGGCATGATTCCGTATTATGATTTTGTAAACTCGGTGTTTTGGTTGTTTTCTGTTCCATGCAGCAGCTATTTTGACAATTTCAGTGAAATTTTCGTGTGTTTATTGATGTATTAATTACGTAAGAATATTCTAGAATGTATTGCATCATTTTTGTTATGATTTACTTATTATTGTAAGCCTCGATCATAGTAGAACGTTCTAGAATCTCCCAGGCGTCTCTGGGTTTTTCTAGGATGTTCGAGAAGTGTCTGACAAGGCGTTTATAAGCGGCCGCGGGCTGTCCAGTAGTTAGGTGGATAGTCCACCTGCTGTCAAATCTCCCACTTGCTCACCTTACCTTCCTCCTACACCATCTTCAGAGTAAACGGCTCTCTTCTCTCCATCATCATCATCAGTAGGAGTGAGTTGCTCTCTTCTGTTCCTGGTGTAAAGACTAGGCCTAGCAGAACAACTGAAGACAATTGTTGTGCAAGTACTGTGGAGCTGTTGTGATTGAGTTAAAGTGAGAAGACTGAGGAATTGTAAACTGGTAGTGTGTTGACTATATATTCCAAGTGTGGAGTTAAGCTGTGAAGACATTACCCTGTTAGCAGTGTTGTGAAGGATTAGTGTATATTAAAGAAGACTACAGTGCACAAGTGTGTTTCTGTGACCTGGTGGAAATCTACCTGCCCCTTGTTTGTCTGTACACTGATACCGATCGTCGGGAAATCACCGGAGACTGGCGGGACAGCCAGTGGTAATTCGACCACTCGTGTGAGATATCTACTGCTCTGTACACACGACCCTGGCCGATGGTAACCAGTGGTGGAAGCTGGGTAAGCGGTGAAAGGAGGAGGGTCGTAACAATATATTACGAGTAGGGTTAACCGTGGATTAAGGAATCTTACACATAATCGGATTAACGGGGGCGTAGTTTTGTTGAGTGAATGTAACTTAGAAAAACAAATTAGAGAGCTAGTGTTGGAAGAGGGAGGAGGAAGGGAGGGGTGAAGCGTCAGGGTGGGAGGGAAGGAATGGGGGTTTGTGGTGTGATGGGTGTCATAGAGACATAAGCCACAACACTTCCCCAGCACCACACAACGGTATACAGTGAATTCCTATACCAGAACGCTACCCTATTTTACACCAGTATAATACACTATACTTTCTATTGTGGCTGTACACTATACGTAATGTTTTATTCCTGGGATTTATACACATATTTGTACACTTGTTTCTAATATCCACAACTGTAACTTCTACTCGTCTGTACCTGTACCTTAACATACACCTGTACCTTAACATACACCTGTACCTTAACATACACCTGTACCTTAACTTTATACATACGGTACAGTATACACCTCTGTTTTATATCTACTCTTGTATGTCTATATTCACGCCTGTAATTGCACCTTAGTACACCTATACCAGTGTACATTATATTTACACCTGTACATTTACCTGCAGGTGAGTTGCGTCTTAGTACTGTTATCATTTTAAAATTCTATATCTGTACCTGTCTTTCTGGATTAATTAGGTACTACATAATGTGTTTTTGATGCCTGGTGAGAAGATTAGACAAGTGTTAGTTAAGTGGGGCAGGACACGTGGGTTGTATAGGCAGCTCCACCCGGTGTTAGTTCACATACAGTACAGTCCCTTCACTACACTGTATAGGAATTAGTAATGTTATTTATCGTCCATTGCCTCAGGTGGGTGATGTGCTGACGGTGGTTTGGTGGCTGGCTGCTGACGGTGGTTTGGTGGCTGGCTGCTGACGGTGGTTTGGTGGCTGGCTGCTGACGGTGGTTTGGTGGCTGGCTGCTGACGGTCATGCGGCTGGCTGGCTGCTGACGGTCATGCGGCTGGCTGTTAACGGTGCTGCGTGAGGGCGTGGCAGTTACCAAGCTCCTGTGAGTATACTGTATGTGTTGATCCGGCCACAACCTGAGGGAGATGACCTATAACAAACATGGTTGTTATTCGCCCTTCGTCATGTTGTAGTCACTTAACCACAACTATAGTACCGGCACGTGATTGGCCGTGAGAGAGAAGACCACTTTTAGCTTAACTATAACCATTACCCTGAAGTTATAACCGACACAGTTTAAAAGACTTTGTTCCCAAGTCATCGTCTGTCATATTTTAGTTTGTTCCTCTCAAAATATGTAAATCTCCGCCAATCACCGGCCAGTTTTGTGGTGATCACGTGACCAGAATATTACAGTGACAGGAACCCTTTTGTGTGTGTGTGGGGGTTCTCCTTACCTTAGGTTGTGGGTACCGACCATCACAACACTCAGAAGACTCACTGTTTGACACGTCTTTCCTCTCCCTCCCACCCCAGGCTGAGACGACCACCACCACTACATCCACCTTGCCTCCCTGCTGACAACTCCATTCATCCGGCTCATTCATTCGTCCGGTTGTGATGAAAAACAGCCGGATATGGACGACCTCCCCGCCAACTAGATCTTCCTACCATAGACCTGTACTTTTGACTTCATAAACTACTATAGCCATACCGTTAGCTTGAACTTGTAAACACTGTACCCAAGGGCGCGGTGGTGTAGGCCTAGGTGAGGTATTCTCAACCATCAGTTCGACACACACACACCACACGCACACACCTCACATACACACACACACACACACCACACACACACACACACACATGATTTATAACCAGTCACTATTTTTTTTTCTGATACTCGTGTGCTGTGAAGGTCAGGCTGGGCGTTGAGGATACCTTGTGAAGGGTTTATTGATGCCACAGTTTTATACGTAGGAATTTTATAGCTGTAAGTAATTATTGTGTGAATAAACTTTTCCATCCTTCCAAAAAAAAAAACCTCTCTTGTCTGTCTCTTTGTCTAGATTTCTCACCTTTATTTCCTTCTGTTTTCTTACTTTTTTCTTTATTTTTTTTATTTTTTACAATATTTAACACCTTCACCATCTTCACAGCAAATGATTCTTTCCAACGGAGAACCATCAAGCCATTACGAGGCTGACGTCACAACACTATGAATGTGACCTTTACCTGTCCCCTACCTGTTAATTATGTGCTCCCGTCTCTACCCCTACCCTTCCACCCCCCACCCTTCATTTTCTTGTAATATAATCAATTTCTGACATTTTGTGTGTTGGCAATCAAAGTTACAGAGACGACCACGCCCATCCCCAATGGCAAGCGGTACCCACCTCTACCTGACATGGGTGAGTGTCTCTCTCGACCACAAGAGGTTCACTATAAATGCCTCTTCCACACACACACACACACACACACACACACACACACACACTGTTCTAAACTTATGAATCTTGTCAATAGGTCACTATTGTGGTAGATAATTATGATAGATCGTTATATATCACATAACAAAAATCTGATTCTTATGTTAGTGTAATTTTTATAATATTTCTGCTGTACTTGTATTACTGACCATATCCACACACTGTTGTAATATCCACACGGCCACCATAATCCACTTCGCATATCCACATTCATATACTTACGATCTATGCACTCATCTTTGTTATATCCACACGCCTGCCATATCCGCGCACTTGTAATATCCACATACCTTTATAATATCCACATACCTTTATAATATCCACATACCTTTATATTATCCACACCTTTACAATATCCACACATCTTTATAATATCCACACACCCACATAACAATCCACACAATATCCACACCATGATATCCAGTGAACTAAGCACATCCATTACCCTCCCAGACGTTGATTACTCGATCGTCGCTAACTACCACTGGGGGACCATTAACGAAAATATGACGGAGGAGGTTACTGACGGGGGAATAATCCTTGTACCGGGACCTTTCGGCTTCGGTACCGGGGTGTATGTGGACGGCGGTAAGGAACAGGTGAGTGACCAGGGGTGTATGTGGACGGCGGTAAGGAACAGGTGAGTGACCGGGGGTGTATGTGGACGGCGGTAAGGAACAGGTGAGTGACCGGGGGTGTATGTGGACGGCGGTAAGGAACAGGTGAGTTTCGACGCTGCCGGAGGTGATTCGTTTAAAACATTGAATCCGAACCCGAGTCTCTTTGAACCCCTAACATGCCCTGATATTGGTGTTATTAAACCTGTATTTCTTTTTACTATTTGAATCCTGAACCCAGTGAACCCAGATACCCACCAGTGTCAAGTAACTAACCACCCCCTCCTCCCCCACCAGTGCCAAGTAACCCCCTCCTCCCTACCAGTGCCAAGTAAGTCACCCCCTCCTCCCCGACAGTGCCAAGTCCACGGAGGCTACAACGAAGACTTGGACTCTTGCTCAGTGAACCCCGCCAACTGCTTAAACGGATTCACCTTCACCATCTGGTCCAGGATTGTTATAAGCGACCAAGACTTGAAGAATATGAACGATACCGACCCGGGCGATTTGAGCTACGGAACCGTCGCCTCTTCTGGTGAGTCTTACACGTTTATGAACCCTTTGAGTCAGTGTTACAAGTTTCTCAACCCTTTGAGTCAGTTTTACAAGTTTCTCAACCCTTTGAGTCAGTGTTACAAGTTTATGAACCCTTTGAGTCAGTGTTACAAGTTTATGAACCCTTTGAGTCAGCTTTACAAGTTTCTCAACCGTGTGAGCCAGTTTTACAAGTTTCTCAACCGTGTGAGTCAGTATTACAAGTTTCTGAACCGTGTGAGTCAGTATTACAAGTTTCTGAACCGTGTGAGTCAGTGTTACAAGTTTCTGAACCGTGTGAGTCAGTATTACAAGTTTCTGAACCGTGTGAGTCAGTGTTACAAGTTTCTCAACCGTGTGAGTCAGTATTACAAGTTTCTCAACCGTGTGAGTCAGTATTACAAGTTTCTCAACCGTGTGAGTCAGTATTACAAGTTTCTGAACCGTGTGAGTCAGTGTTGAAATACCTGCAGGGGGCGACAAGGAAGGTCATCCTGGGATCCGTATCTACAAGTACTCGGTGTGGCTGCACGCGCTGGTGTCAACAGGCGACCTCTACTGGCACACGATGATCCCCTGGCTCACCTACAACGATACCTGGACCAATATAGGCATCCGCTGGTCCCATCCCACCGTCGATGAGGAAGGCATTGAGGTACAGTACATGTGTGGTGCTTTGTCTGTCTGTCTCTCTGTCTCTTGCAACAGCAGCCGTCAGTGATCAAGGAGGTAGGTGGAGAGAGAGAGAGAGAGATAGAGAGAGAGAGAGAGAGAGAGAGAGAGAGAGAGAGATAATAAATGAGTAAATGCATGTCAGCTTGTTAGTCTCTCCCTTTCTCTCTCAACATATCCCTCCTCTCTTTCCCTCCCCCATCCCACCCTCCCTTCTTCCCTTTCCTCCTCCCTTACCTCTTCCCCCGTCCCTACCATTAATTAACCAAATATGTTTTCCAGCTCTTCCTCAACGGAGAACCTGTAGCGAGCGCAAGCACACCCATCTCCGTAGCCGCAGCCAAGGAGCCGCTCTCGCCGTCAGAGATGATGATAGGCTGCCACAGGACCGCCGATGACCCCCTCTACACAGAGTACATCACCGCCGCCTTTGACGAAGTGGCCACCTGGACCAGACGAATTAATGACTCAGAGACGCTCTACTTCCTGGGCGGCTACAGTGAGTAATGGTGGATCATGGTGTGGGGTTATGGTAGGTCATGGTGGGTAAAAGGATAGGTTTTGGTCATAGTATTGGGTGATGGTGGGTGAATATTTACAAAAAAAAAAAAACCCGCCGTATGTACTTAACTTTACAGGTGCGGAGTTTGCTGGAGACAACCCGGAAGAGTTCGCCGAGAAGTTGACTGGTGCTGATATGAACGACCCAGAGACAGCGGCCACCATGTACAACGGCCTCAGTGATATGTTCAATACCGAGGTCGCCACCTCTAACACCGAGGAGGTCGATCCCACCAGTGCTACCCCGGGCACTGAGGCCAGTCCTACAGGTGAGGGGTACAGTGCAAGCCTACAGGTGAAGGGTACGGTGCAGGCCTACAGGTGGGTGGTACAGGTGAGGGGTACAGTGCAGGCCTACAGGTGGGTGGTACAGGTGAGGGGTACAGTGCAGGCCTACAGGTGGGTGGTACAGGTGAGAGGTACAGTGCAGGCCTACAGGTTTGGTCAGTTTGGTATGTACCAAAACTGTGTGTAACATTTATAATTATGGTACAGTACCGTTGTTATGATGGTAGAGTATACTTATAGTGTGGCTGTACCTCGGCAGACACAGCGCCGTCGTCTACCGCCATGCCGATCACGAAGAATATGAAGGTGTTTGAGAAGTTCGTTGAGGCGTTCAACTCAGCCACCGACGACAGCAAAGTCCCCAAGAACATCGATCTTCAGCTTACCAAGAAGATCTTTGTAAGTTAGACAGAAAGAGAGAGAGAGAGAGAGAGAGTGTGTGTGTGTGTGTGTGTGTGTGTGTGTGTGTGTGTGTGTGTCCATCTATTTCATCAACACTTTGTCTACACTCAGCTGTTCATCGAGGCAGCCAGCACCTTGTTTGGGGAGAGCAACGTGGACAAGATGAAGACGTTGCAGATGAAGAAGGACAACCCCGGGTCAGCCAAGATGATGGGCGACCTCACCCGCTGGATCAGGAACATCATGCATCAGGTCATCTACGAGAACTCCACTCAACAAATAGAGATTAACAAGATTACCAAGAACAAGAGTTAGTACTGTAGCGAGTTCCTTTCATAGCAGTCATTGTATGTTGTATATTATTGTATTATGTATTAAATTATGTATATCCTGTAATCACTGTAATGTGTGTTGTGCTGTATTATCGAGTATGAATGTTGTATCTATAGTGGTTCTTGTATTTCCCTGTATTAATGTATAATCTGTGTTGTATTAGACTTTATATCAAATGATTTAAATTGTCTTTTGGTCATTATATCATCATACGCCAACGTTGTATATTGTGATTATTATGTTGCATTAATGTTACATCTGTGTTGTATCAGAGGTTGTATGTTGTTTCTTGACAGTTGTGGTGGCCACTAAGCGGAACGTCAGTGAATGGGCAGCCAGTAATGACCCTTATATCACGTCTCCAAACTACAAGGCAATAGGTCATCCAGTTGGTTGGAATTATCCTATTGACCGAGCGGCAGGTAAGGTCATACCCTATTGACCGAGCGGCAGGTAAGGTCATACCCTATTGACCGAGCGGCAGGTAAGGTCATACCCTATTGACCGAGCGGCAGGTAAGGTCATACCCTATTGACCGAGCGGCAGGTAAGGTCATACCCTATTGACCGAGCGGCAGGTAAGGTCATACCCTATGGACCGAGCGGCAGGTAAGGTCATACACGAGGGTAGAAATTGAGATCCTGGGTTAGTTTAATGGGGTAGTGCTGTGGGTTGGGGTCATGGGTGAAGGTATAGGCTGGGGTCATGGGGTAGTGCTGTGGGTTGGGGTCATGGGTGAAGGTATAGGCTGGGATCATGGGGTAGTGCTGCTTTTGTTGGGGTCATGGGTGAGTGCTGTGGGTTGGGGTCATGGGGTAGTGCTATGGGCTGGGATCATGGGTTAAGTCACAAGGCCCCCACAGGTTAACCATACAATGTGTTTCCCTCTACAGTATGCATCAAGATGATTGACGCGGACAAGTGTGGAAGACGGGCCGTGAATGTGGTTATCCTCTCCTCCCGCACCTACCACCTCATGGCCCCCACCAAGGTCAACGAGGCGTAAGTATCTTTATGTGATGTAACCTTTGATGATGATGTGTGTGTGGTTGGTCACGATATTATTTTGGGCCCCGTAGGGACATTATAATCGTCGTCTTCACACCCACATTCATACACACTGTTGACACAAGTCTTTCCTCACCCTCAGGAGAATGCCGCCCTCCCGCTACTACGTCATCGACTCCCGCACCATCACAGTGGACGTTACCTGTGACCCCGTGCTTAATGAGTTCGGCGGAATCGACCCCACCGTACCGAGCTGCAAACCCACACCCGAGGCTATGAAGAGATTCCCAGTCAAGTTCAAGCTGAGGCACATCATCACCAGTGCATTTAAGATCAGGTCCTTGAAGTTCCACCAAGAAGATATGGACAGACAGGTAAGGAGAGAGAGAGAGAGAGAGAGAGAGAGTTTTGATAATATATACAGTTCCACGAGAAGGAATGAGTGAGACAAGCGAGAAATGAGCAGAATTAGAGAGAGACGGGAAAGTACTGTACAATATCTCAATAAAGTATCTGTCAGGATGGGTCCAATGACTTCTGAAATGATACATGCAAATCTTGATGTTCCGGGAGGGTTGGTATGTGTGGCTCTGTGTCCCGGGAGGGTTGGTATGTGGCTCTGGCTCTGTGTCCCGGGAGGGTTGGTATGTGTGGCTCTGTGTCCCGGGAGGGTTGGTATGTGTGGCTCTGTGTCCCAGGAGGGTTGGTATGCGTGGCTGTGTTCCAGGAGGATGGTATGCATGGCTCTGTGTCCCAGGAGGTTGGTATGCATGGGTCTGTGTCCAGGAGGTTGGTATGTATGGCTCTGTGTCAGGAGGGTTGGTATGCGTGGGTCTGTGTCCCAGGAGGGTTGGTATGCGTGGGTCTGTGTCCCAGGAGGGTTGGTATGTATGGCTCTGTGTCCCAGGAGGTTGGTATGTATGCTCTGTGTCCAGGGAGGTTGGTATGCGTGGGTCTGTGTCCAGGAGGGTTGGTATGTATGGCTCTGTGTCCCAGGGAGGGTTGGTATGTATGGCTCTGTGTCCCAGGAGGTTGGTATGCGTGGCTCTTTGTCCCAGGAGGTTGGTATGCGTGGCTCTGTGTCCCGGGAGGGTTGGTATGCGTGGGTCTGTGTCCCGGGAGGGTTGGTATGCGTGGCTGTGTCCCGGGAGGGTTGGTATGCATGGCTCAGTAACATACATTTGGTAACCGAACATCATATTAATTACTCCCAAATAAATACGCATTACATTACTTATGTTAAACTATATACCGAAGTAAATGGATGTGCCAATATCTATCATCTGTGGTCTCATAATGTTTCACACAGAGTGGACAGATACTTGTTTGAGATGGTGGACATCCAGTCAGCTTCAAGTTAAGATGCATATTATTTACCATTTGTACAAAATTAAGGCTCTCAGACTCTACCAATGACACCCCTTTTTGTCAATACCTACACCCCATCCAAACCACTAACCACGCTCTCCCTTCTATACCACTAACCACGTCCCCCTCTGTACCCCTAACCACGCCCTCCCCTCTTTACCACTAACCACGCCCCCCTTCTCTATACCACTAACCACGTCCCCTCTGTACCCCCTAAC